ATTGTGTGCGTTTGTTTCGTCCTCCCAACCTCCACCGCTCTTCACGAGTGGGCGACTGGCGGCTGCGGGGCCCTGAAGACAACCACTTTTGTGGGGCGCAACTAAGCTGGGCCCTTCAGAACTCACCGTGGGCCCGTTGGTTTCCGTGGGTGCGGGCCTTGGTGGGGAAACCTCCGCAGTAGTGCGGGATGTTGGGCGCATTCGATCGAACAGTGATTATTATTATTACTTTTCACCTTTTCCCTCCTTGTAGGAAGAATGAGCACAGCCCAAGCCCGGCATACGCAGCCCCAGCTTGTGCATGGCTCGTGACTTCGTGGTAGCAACCCCAAACTCGTGTCTTTTTCTCGGTGAGGTGCGTGGGCTCCATCGGGCCAGTCTGGTAGCATGAGGGGTTTGTTGCAGGACCATCGTGCTGCACGCCGTCCGGCACGTATTTTATCTGCCCCCCTCTCATGGGATCTTTTCTCTTGAGCGTTTCGTGTTGGTCGAATGCTAATGCCTTTGTGTGGAGGGGCGACAAAACAGGCAAAGTCAGCATTATTTCCGTGGCCGGAGTGTTTTTGTCCCATTCTTGTTTTTGCTGTTGGTTGCAGTTGGCACTAACTTTTTGCTTTGTGTTTGCAGTTTTGTTTTTTTTGTTTTGGCTGCGCTTTTCTTTGGTGTCCCGTTGGCGTTTTTTTTTCTTGACATTCTCCGGCCGCGCGCTGTCATCTTCTTCGTCGTGCTTCTCTGCAGCGTTTTATGGCGTGAGAGGTTGCCGTTGATCGTCTTTTAAAGGACGAACTCGTGCGTTGTTGCTGTTGGGATGGTGGCCAACCGCAATTTGGGGACCCGGTTGCAATTAGAAGATTCCACGGACGCTGCAGGCCGCGACCACCTCTCTTCTGTCTCTTCCTGTTCTCGCTGCTTTTCACGATGGACTGCTTTACATTGCTGGGTATGCCCCCATTCCCCCCTTTTTTTTGTGCGTGCATGTGGGGTTGGCCGGATCTTGGGCCTGGCCTTAACGTTATTTTCTGTTGCGTCTGATGTTGTACGGCGCTGTGGTTTGATTGGAGTTGCACGTAACCATGCAGGCTGCTGCGTCTCCTCGCCTTTCTTTTTCTGTGCACCTGTGCCGTTAGTAAGTTGCGTGCGAGTACTCCACCGTTGAATTTGTAAAGTGTGCTTCTGTTGCACGTCTATGCGTGAGCTTCCAAGCTCGGACGCGGAATTGGAGGGGGTGCGAGAGCGAAAAGGGTGCGGCGACAAGGACACGTTGTTTGCAGAAAATGAGTTGGTGGCCATCGGCAGTACGGAATCTACCGAGGGATTAAAAGTGCTGGTGCACCCGGCGACTCACTCGCTTGCGGAGCGACGGCTGCGGGAGCTGAATGAGGTGCGGGCGGAGCGCGTGGCCAGGCGACGCAGTCCCGAGAACAAGTTTATGCGGGCGATGCATGTCGTTATGCCCTACGGTGGTATCTTGTCCTCCGCATTCAACCTTGCTAGCTCGACGCTTGGCGCCGGCATCGTTGCGCTGCCAGCCGCGTTCCAAATGTCCGGGATAGTTATGAGTGTGTTGTACCTTTTGACAGTGGCGGCGATGGTGGTGTATTCCTTTGTGCTTCTTACCATCGTCGGTGAACGGACGGGGCTGCGGAGCTACGAGAAGGTGACGCAGCAGCTGCTTGGCCGCGGCGCAGACCACGTGTTGGCAGTTCTTATGTGGCTTCTTTGCTTTGGCGGGGACGTGTCGTACGTCATTTCCATGCGGGGAATTATTCAGGGGTTTGTCAACAACTCCGTGTCTGCGCCGGCGTTCCTGAAGACGCTCTCCGGCAACCGACTGCTTACAAGTATTGTGTGGCTCTTCCTCATGTTTCCGCTCTGCCTGCCGAAGGAAATCAACTCCCTCCGCATCGTTTCCACAATCGCCGTCCTGTTTATTGTTTTGTTTGCCATCTGCATCGTTGTGCATGCGGCACAAAACGGACTAAAATACGGGATGCGTGAGGACATTGTGTACTTTCGGACCGGAAATCAGGCTATCACCGGACTCTCTATTTACCTTTTCGCCTACGTGAATCAGGTGAATTGCTACGAGGTCTATGAGGAGCTATACAAACCCAGCGTGCGCCGGATGACCATGAGCGCCATCGTGGGGACGCTGCTCTGCCTCGTCTTGTATCTTGTCGCTGGTGTGTTTGGGTACCTCGACTTTGGTTCCGAGGTGACCGACTCCGTGCTTGCGCTGTACGACCCTGTGGGCGACAAAATGATGGGGGTCGCCTACGCCGGCATCATCCTGAAGCTCTGCGTCGGCTACGCCCTTCACATGATACCCTGCCGCGACGCCCTCTACCACATCCTCAGCCTTGACGTGAGGTTGATGCCGTGGTGGCAGAACTCGTTGATATGCGCCACACTGGCGGTCACATCCCTCCTTGCCGGCCTTTTCATTCCACGCATCACCACAGTGTTTGGGCTGCTTGGTTCCCTCTGCGGTGGCTCCATTGGCTACGTGTTCCCCGCACTAATGTTCATGTACTGCGGCAACTTCAACCTCCGCTCCGTTGGATGGGGGCACTTTATTGGGGCGTACCTGCTCCTGTTGATTGGAGTCGTTGCCATCGTCTTCGGCACCATTTCCGCCATTTACGCTGAGGTGAGTAACGCTCAGTCGTGATTTTCCGCACCCCCCCAGCCAGTTTCCCATTTAACACGACGTCCGGTGGATTGCAGGGGGAGTGCCCTTTTTTTCCCCTTTTCTTTCCCACGCACGCACTCGCTCTCTTTGTTTCTCTCTCTACGTATATGCATACATGTATTAATTTTTTTTTAAAGGTTTAGTTTCGGCATATATATATATATATATGTTGGCGTGAACGGTGTGCAGCATTGGCAAACATTAATTTTTTTTTAAAATTATTGCTGAGGCACCTTCTTCCTATTTGCATTCTACGTGTTTTTTTTTTCATTTTTTGTTTGCTTGTCGTTGTGTTCGTCTTTTTAATTGTTTTTCCTACCAATAAACAAGTTCTTCATGAAAGTTGTCGCCAAACGACAGAGAAGAGGGCATCTGTGCGTGTGCTTGTTGCTGAGCTACATTTCTTGCTTCTGGCCTTGGCTATCTACGTTGTAGTGATATGAATTTACAAATGACTCTGCCTGTACGTAAGACTGCCTTTTGAATTGATTTTGTTAACATCTTTTTTCTTCTGTTTTGCGTTTGTGCATTGTTTTCTCTCTCCATGAGGAGGAGGAGGAGAAGAAGAAGAGGGTGTGGCCGCCGTATATGCATGGCCATACAAAAATGTATTTGAAACCAAAGTCTTGTTTGTTTGCTTTGTTTTTGTTTTTGTGTGTTTTTTTTCTTTTCGTCTGCGCTTCATTCTCTTTTCTTTGGCTCTGGCCGGCACGGCGGCTGCCACCTCCCAAACCCTTTTTTTTCCCGAGGAACACTGCGGCAGCGATGCACTTTTCCTCGCCTCCCTTCTGTTTCACGGCATCTTCTCTTTTTTTTTCTCTTTTGTTTTGACTGTGCCTCAGATTCTTCCCGTGCAGGATACCCCACACAGCGGTTTGCAATCGATAATAGAGGCTTTTGGCTCTGCAGTTGTGGCTGCGCCTCCCACGAGCACTTGGGAGCAGTCTGGCTGGGAGCGAAGGAGCGTGTGGCACCCCAGCACCCTCCTTGGTCGCCGCACACGCCGTACCACCGAGAACAACACCGGTTACTGTTAACCTCTCCTTCCTTCGCGCCTTCCTCCCTTCCCGTAGGCTCCGTTTTCACTTCTTTCTTCTCGTGTGTGTGCATGCGTGTTCGTGTCCGCCCTTCATGTCGTTGGCCCTCCACGAATTGGGGCCGGAGGCGGTGTCGTATCGACACCTTGTCGACGAGGTGAAGCTGCAGCTCAACATAACGCACTATGACCTTGACTGCTGGATCTACGCCTTCTTGGAGAACAAGAAGTACAATGTTCAGGAGACAGTCGAAGAATTGCAGCGGCGCTTCACAATGGAAGCGGGTGAGCTGACAGCACACACCTTCACGGATTACATGAGTGAGTCCTTGCTGTCTGGCATTATTTAGTGTGTGGGGGAGGATAAAATGGGGCGCGTGGTCTTCTACGTCGTGGCCAGGCGGGACCACCCGGTGCCCTCACGCCGAGAGCAAGGCGAACTTTGACATGATGGTGAGCTACGGCGTCCGCCTCCGCGCCGAAAACAAGCGGTGCCAAATGGCGATGCTCATCAACCAGGAGAAGGCCAGTTTGTGGAGTAACACGGACATGACCTTTCAGGCGGACATTGCCCTCCACATATCGAAGTTTTATCCGGGCGCCGTGGACAAGATATACGTCTGCAACATGAGCCGGACCCTGGCGGCACTGGCAAAGCCCATCTTTTCCAGGCTCCCCTCGATTGTCTCGGATCGCATTATGATCATATCCGACGCTGAGAGGAAGTCCGGCAAGCTGTTGGAGTACTTTGACGAGAGTGTCCTGCCGGTGGCGCTGGGCGGCAGCAACGACTGTGATCATGAGGAGAACCATGCCAGGTTTGCTGTGACCATCAGGGAGCACTTTGAGCAAATGAAACCCGCCCTGCTCCGTGGCCTCTCAGTGAAGGAGTGGGAAC